ATAGTGCCTGACACTCGGTAAGTGCTTAATAAATACTTGTTGATTGACAGAACTAGTAAGTGTCATAGCTGGGAACCTAGTCGTTCCTGACTCCAGAAGTTCAAGGTCCTTCAGACACCATTATGTTTCTACCAAGCTTTCTTTGTTTTTGCTTTTGTTTTTTTGCTAGGCAGTGGGGTTAAGTGACTTGCCCAGGGTCACACAGCTAGTAAGTGTTATGTGTCTGAGGCCGGATTTGACTTCAGGTCCTCCTGAATCCAGGGCCGGTGCTCTATCCACTGCGCCACCTAGCTGCCCCCTCTACCAAGCTTTTTTTAAAACCCTAAAGAAAATAAAATAGAAATACTGTGGTAATGACACTAGAAAACAAATATTAAATTTATCCTAAGAAAGGGAAAAAAACTACATTCTTTTTTCCGCTCCATAGTTTCATTTGGATATGGTTGGTATTATAACTTTTACATGATGTTCAGTAGTTTTCAGTCGTGTCTGACTCTTTGTGACCCCATTTGAAGTTTTCTTGGCAGGTAAGGAAATGAGGCAAACAAGGTTAAGTGACTTGCCTAGGGTCACACAGCTAGTAAGTGTCAGAGGCCAGATTTGAACTCAGGAAGATGAGTCTTTCTCTCTTCAGGCCTGGCGCTTTATCCACTGCACCACCTAACTTTTATGTAGTGTTTCTATAAGTACTCAAGTGTATCAGTGACCTCACTATATGTAGATATTCTGTCCGGTGATATAGATCACAGCTCATCTGTCTTGCCCATCTTTTACTCTTGCTCTCCCATGAGTTTTCCAGGGGTCATTCAGGAAGCCTTCCTTGATTTCTTTATGACATTGTGAGAATATTAGTGAAGGATGTAGGCTGCCTAGTGGTCAGCCGTTGCAAGACATGTTTCAACAGATATAATTTCAGTATGGCTGGCTTTCGTATAGGTACTTCCCTTTGACATCTGAAAATTTAGAAAACATAAATTTGGTAGTTAATTACTTGGCAAATGTACAGTTGGTTCAGAAAAAGCTTGAGATTAATCAGATATTACTTTTCTCAACCATTCATTTTAATATCTTTGGGTGTTTTTTATTATTAGTATGTTTTTTGTCTGTTCCCTATAACCAATTGGATGTTTTGTAAACTGAAGCTATCTAACAAACTTGGCTTCACATTGCAATAATGTACTTTCAGTTTTGGGAATAGGTAGATGAAATTGTTTTTTAAAAATTTCTTTTCACATAACAACTTTTATTTTCTCTTCCTCTCCCCTTTCTCCCCTCCTTCCCATTAAGGAAAAATAAGAAGACCCTTTAAACGAATATGCATAGTTAAAGCAAAACAAATTCCCATATTAGCAATGTCTAAATTTTATGTCTCATGCTTTGTTTTTAGTCTGTCACTCTCCATCAGGAGGTGGTAGAATTCTTCATCATTCCTCCTTTGGAATCATAGTTGGTCATTACATTAATAACACTATTACTACTGTGAAAGAAATAGAAAAAGGACCTATATACACAAAAATATTTATAGCAGCTCTTATTATAGTGGCAGAGATGTAAAAACTAAGGTGGTGCCCATCAATTGGGGAATGGCTTAACAAATTATGGTATATGAATATTGGGGAATATTATGGTGCCATAAGAAATGACAAAAGGGAAAGCCTCAGAGAAACCCATCAAGACTTGTATAGATGATGCAGAGTAAAGGAAACAGAACCAGAAGAACACTTTATACAATAACAGCAACATTATAAAGACAAACAACTTTGAAAGGCTTAATGACTAACTGTGATTCCACAGATGATTAAGCAGTCTCACTTCCTGAAAGAGCAGTGTGATAGATTCAGGATGCAGAATGAGAAATTTATTTTTGGACATGACCATTGTGGAAATTTATTTTTTTCGATCATGCATATTTGTTACAAGGGTTTTGTTTTTCCTTTTCCTTTTTCAGTGAGGGTGGAGAGGGAGTTAAGAGGGAAAGAAAATACATTCTTGTCAACTGAAAATTTTTTTTTAATTTTGAAAAGAAACAGCTTGATCAGACACCCTTGAATACTGTCTAACCATATTTTTATTCCCTGAAAAATTAAACATTTATATGTGTGTATGCATATGCATGTGTCTGTATATGTGTATATTATATGTGTACATATGTGTTTATATCACATTCTGGGAGCAATGCAAAAACATTACAGTTAGTACTTTAGTCTCTGTAACATATAAATAAGTTCTAGTTGTTTCTTGTGTATTTATCTTTTCTGCTCAGGTAGACTATAAGTGCTTTGATGAATAGATACTGTTTTCTAATTTTGTATACTACCAAAAACACCTATAATTTATTGGTTCATATTAATTTTGAAGGCTACAGGTAATTTGAATTTCTTTGTATCAAAAAATAACTTAAAATGGACACAAATTTGGGTCCATCAGTGCATCAGATGCGTTGTATTCTGATTTTGAAATGTATTGAGTGTTTAGCCTCTTTCTTCTGAAGAACTCAGCTGCCTATTATTTTAGCATGTTTTATTCTGGAAGTGTTAATCTGTTTTGTAGTCTGCATCAGTGAGGAAGCTTCAGAGCTAGGCCATATCTCAATAAAATAGTATCTACCATTATACTTCTGGTGTATCTCATGAGAATGGAAACTAATTCGAATAATATTGACAGTGTAATTTGGAATATAAATAAATATGGCTGATAAGACTGTACTATTTTAAGTAATTTAAAACATTAGTTATGGAGTTGCTTTAGTGTATTTTAAAGGCTGCATAGTTATCAGCATGTGAATTTATTTCACTTTGTCAGCTGGACACTTCATGTGGTTGAAGTACTGCTTAAATGAGTCATCATGATATAAATGGTTGGCTAAATGCCAGTGAGGGATTTGTTGGTCTCATCAAGGGAAGTTTGATTCTTTTTCATGTTTTGTGTTTGGTTTTTCTAGGGATTATATCTACCTGATTATTATCCCTTTCTGGAATTGAAATCTTCATTTGTGTAATAGTCTAAAAAGTCAGCTAGTGATGAGTGTACTATTTATTAACTAGATCCTGTGTGCTATGCAAGGGGCAGTTAAGTGGCATAGTAGATAGAGCACTAGGCTTGGAATCAGAAAGGCTCATCTTCATGAGTTCAGATCTGGCTTCAGACACTCACTTTGTGATCCTAGTGGGCAAGTCACTTAACCTTGTTTGCTTCAGTTTCTCATCTATAAAATGAGCTGGAGAAGGAAATGGCAAACCACTTCAGTATCTTTGCCAAGAAAACCCCAAAATGAGGTCACAAAGAGTCAGATACGACGGAAAAACAGTTACAAAAATATGCTATGCAGACTGAAAATGGCTTAAAATCACCAGCCAGAAAGAATGCCTCTTGAAACTTTAAAATTATCTCAATAACTGAATCTATTAATATGTATACCTAGATTGTAGATTCCTTAAGGACAAAAACAGTATGTTTTGTATAGTGTCCTATAATTATGCCTTATTAAATCCATACATTCCTTTTTTTATAGTTGACTATTCTTTCTGGGTTTCCTAGGTCAACGCTGGTTTTAAATTGTTTATCCGGGTAAACAGTTGAAATACCCCAGAAATTCCAATATTTCAGAAAATGAATCAAGTCAATAACAGAGGCAGTATGGTGTAGTGGATATCATGTTGGGCTTGGAGTCAGGTAGACTTGGTTCAGATCTTGCCTCTGGCACTTAATATTACTGAACAAGTCAGTTAACTATTCAGCCTCGGTTTCCTTAACTATAAAATAAGCAAACAGGCGGCAAGCATTATGTTTACTAAGTGACGGGCACTTGTATCCCTTGGACTATAAATAAAAGAAAATACAAACCTTGCCCTCAAAGAGCTTACGTTGTAATGGGTGAGAGACAACACATAAAAGGGGGGCTGAGTTGGGCCAAGGGAGTTGGGAAAGTACCTAAATGGGGACTTTGTGGTGACTTGTAGAGTCTGAAGCACAGCCAGGAGGGGAATAAAGCATGACCAAACTGGGCCTGTCCCCAAAATGGAGACATGCCCCCCTCCCTAAGAAAACTCATCAATAGGAGAAAGTGACTTGGCATGGCAGACGGCTGTTACAGGATAAGAATGCCTCAGATGTAGAGAGAAGTTCCAGGGTGAGAAGGTAGGCTGAGTCATGGTGACAAAGTCCAGGACAGTCAGAGGCACAGCCAGAGAAGAGGTGATAACACCTATCTCACAGGGTTGGGGTGAATTTGAATAGGATAACACATGTATAAGATGTTTTGTCAGTTTTAAAGCAATATATAAAAGGCTTTTATAATCACAATAAAAAAAGAATATATGTCACAAAAGATTGAGAATCACCAACTGAGCAAACACACGTAGTAACCCATACTGAGTATACCAATGTCTTTATATGTGTGCATGTGTTATATGCAGTTTTAGTATGGTGAGAGCAGCTGGTTTTGACAACTTTCTTTGTTTCTAGTTTTAAAGGCCACAATATAATACTGCCTGCACTAATATAAAAACCATCTCATTTATGGCAACACAGTAAAATTGATTAACCGCGTAGCTTAGTTTTTGTTTGGGAAAATATCGCCAGACCCCTAAGTCCCTAGCATAGTAATTGCTGGTCTTCTGTAAGTACTTGGTATAATGAGTAATGGAAATTACTGAAAAGAAAACCTGTTTTGGAGCCCTTGAGTATTATATGTAGGTTAGATATTACATAACTAGATTATCAACTCCTCAGTTTCAGGAATGTGTTACAACAGTGTCAGAAGCATCATGGTGCAAATATCAAGCATTTAATAAAAGTCTGTTGAATGTGTATAGTGTAGTAAAGTTCCTTTCCTTACCGGCAAGTTACTCCTTCTAGGCCTTTTAGATGGTGCGTGTGCTACGTGGTGTATGCAGGATCCAATAATCTTAAGACAATGTTTGTTGGATAAATTCAGCACGTGTTATAAGTAGGAAGTAGTGGCATTTGATATTTTTCCTTCTTTCTGCTTTTCTTTGTAGATAAGATGCTCCGAGTCATTTGCAGTGCTCTTCAAAAGAAAAAGCTCTAGTGCTGTACTCTTGCCATACTACCAAACTTCTTTCATTTTGTTTTGGTGCTGAAACACTGGAAGAATTGCATGTAGGCTCTAAGAGGAGGATCTTTCCCTTTTTAATTTTATCATTCTGTATGAATGGAACGGGTTTTGTGTCTTATTGCCCACCCTATTTTAAAGCTGCTTCACCAACTTCTAAACTGCTTAATGAATTGGGCCCTTTGCCAATGAGCCACACAGCCAATTCTTGCCAAGAGCTGGTTGAAAACTGTGCCGTGCATGTAGCAGGGATGGCACAAGAAGACAGCCATCGTGGTCAAGTGCCATCCACATTTTATCATGGTGCCAACCAAGAACTTGACCTGTCCACCAAAGTGTACAAAAGAGAGTCAGGAAGCCCATATTCTGTTTTAGTGGACACCAAAATGAGCAAATCACATCTCCATGAAACAGAAGAACAACCTTTTTTCAGGGAAACCAGATCAGTGGCTGAAGTCCGTGCTGTTAAAGAAGACCACGAAAACTCTGATGACATGGAAGAAGAAGAGGAAGAGGTAACTTATAAAAGGGAACAGATTATAGTAGAGGTAAACCTTAACAACCAAACGTTAAATGTATCTAAAGGGGAGAAGGGTGTTTCCTCTCAATCCAAAGAGACTCCAGTTCTTAAAACCAGCAGTGAGGAGGAAGAGGAAGAAAGTGAGGAAGAGGCTACCGATGATAGTAATGACTATGAAGAGAATGAACGGCAAAAGAAAAAGGAGAAGAGAGTGGAGAAAGTCAGTGTTGCACAAAGAAGAACAAGGAGAGCTGCATCAGTCGCCGCAGCTACCACTTCCCCTACACCCAGAACAACCAGAGGCCGTAGGAAAAGTGTAGAGCCTCCCAAGCGTAAGAAGAAGGCTGCAAAGGAGCCAAAAGCACCAGTGCAGAAAGCTAAGTGTGAGGAGAAAGAGACTTTGACTTGTGAGAAGTGTCCCAGGGTGTTTAATACACGCTGGTACCTGGAGAAGCACATGAATGTCACACATAGGCGCATGCAGATCTGTGACAAATGTGGCAAGAAGTTTGTCCTGGAAAGTGAGCTGTCCCTTCATCAGCAAACAGACTGTGAAAAAAACATCCAGGTAGGTTTGGTCAACAAGAAGGGAATCCTAGAGTAGTGCTTAGCTCTCCAGACTTTCCTGATATATGCTCAAGAGAAAAAATAGTAGAGACTAGAGTAAGTTTTTTAACAATGGTGTATTTTAATCTTTCAGCAGTGGGGTCTCATATTTTAGAGTCAAAACTTTAAATATAAACTGACTCCAAAATTTGGAAGAGCGAGAAGAAGGCTGCACTGTAAGGAATGCTCTGATTTGGTACTTTGTTGGCCATCTTTTCAGTCAGTTTTGGTATCTTAAAGTGTTTAACATGTATAGTTTAGAGCAGGGTGGGGAACCTGTGGCCCCAAAGCCATATGTGGCCTTCTAGGTCTTCAAGTGAGGCCCTTTGACTGACTCCAAACTTCACAGAACAAATCCTTTTGTTATGGTTCTGTGAAGTTTGGATTCGGTCGAGGAGGGGCCGCATTTGAGGACCTAGAAGGCCACATGTGGCCTCAAGGGCATAGGTTCCCCACCCCTGGTTTAGAATCTTAAAGGTTAGAGGTCATAAGAAGGTGTCAGGTAGATGGAAAGAAAGAGGGGAAGGGTTTTTCTCTGTTTAAGAGTGCCATATTTGGGTACAGCTGAGGGAATAACATCCTGATGACTTCAAATAGGTAAAAATAAAAAATATTTCCAGGAATGTGCTTGCTTTCACCAGTGGAGAGCTAACAATAAATGTGAAACTAAGTCCATGAGAATAGCTAAACTTTAAAGGCTGGATTGTTTGAAAAATATGTTGTAGTCTACTTATGTAAAGTTTTAGCACAGCGTTATTAATCAGTAAGGTAATGAAACTATGCATGATGCAGATTAATGAATCTAATTGACTATTATAGTTGGATTTAGAAGTGTTCTGATTAATAACATTGGATTCCTTTATATGTATATGTGAGTATATACTAATGAATATTCATTGAAAGCTAAACTTCTTTTAAAGATTCTTCCTTTTTGGAATATGCAAAATGGAAACTTTTTAAACCTTTTGAAAGAATGAATTTATTTTCCTAGAAAGCCTCTGGTATCAATTGCTAATAGATATAATTTTCTGTCTTCAACCCCACTTCTTGACCTCCAACAGTTGAAATCTTTGCTTTACTTTATTTTTATGTGATTTAAAAATTTTCTGATTTTTTTGTCTTTACATCACCTTCATTTCTGAATATATTCCCACCTCCATTCAGTGGCCCATCCCTTATAACAAAGGATAAAAAAGAAAAAGAAAAAAAAGTCTGCTTTTTTTTTTTAAAAGAGATAAGTGTTTTGGCTGTATGGTTTGATCTGAATTATCCTGAACAAAGGAATATAGCACAATGCTGCATCCTAGGGGTAAAATTGAAATCCTGTAACTGTTGGTTTCTGATGAGTATTGAAAATTATCATGATCTTCATAAGTATCCTTCATTCTTCTGATTTTGTGTTAAACTTCAGGAAAGTACAGCTTACAGGAAGATACCAAGGAAATCCTTTTTAAAAAATAATTGTCATTTTGCCAAATGTTAATTGTGCATACAAACTTATTTGTAGATCTTGCTGACTTAGTTAACAAAAATCTGTTACAAAAACAGAACCTTGTTGTGCTTTGTTCTCAGCTATAGAAATTCAGTGTTTCTGGTGATATGAGGAATGGTAAAAATCATAATAATTTGCATGTAGAATATTATACTCTTTTTCCACAGAAGTCTGTTGGATAAGTTGTAGCTTTTCTTAGAGCAACATATTAGCACCTATAGATGTTTCTTATCAACTCTGCCCAGACTTATTTTTGATGAGAGCTGTTATTCTTGGATTCTTTAGTTTAAATGCTAGCATGATTACTGTGTGTATGTACCCTGGGTCTTAATGATTCCCAAGGACCTTCTTGACCTGATCTCTTTTTGCCAGAAGCATTTTGTTCAGATTCAGTTCCTACTCAGTACGTCTCTAGTTAAGAGAGAGATCACCATTGAATTCAGTGGTAACTTATGCCAAGTGATGGGTTGGCTCAAGGATAGCACTACAACAAGAGACATCTGAAATTTATATTGGAAAAGGAGTATTGTAGTTTATATTGATGAGTTTGTGCCAAGCTGTGCCAAAGGGAAGCATTTAATGGTTCTAATTAGTTTGATGAAAAAGTGCTGTAGAGTTTTAAATTATCCATTTTGTCAGAGTGGGAAGGTGGCATTGTTATTCAGTATACATTATGTGAGGTTTTGTTTTTTCTCCATAGTATATTTATTATCCTAATTATGCTTTATTTAGGCTATTATTAAAATCAGTTTGAATCCCCTTAGCCTACACTAACTGGGTTTGCAAAGAAAGTGACACAAAAGCATGTTGAAAGACCAGAAAAGTCTAGTTGCTGTGGATATTGAACAGTTTGCATATTAAGGATTTGGAGTTCCTTCAGCAACAGCTAGCTGTCTATGCCACTAAGAAGAGACTAGCCAGACAGTGTATATCTCAATGCAAGGGCAACTCCTCATTTCTTCTTGCCTTAGTTTTTGTTGTTGTTGTTGTTGTTGAGTTGTTTCATTTGTGTTCAGCTCTTCTGGAGAAGGATATGTCAAACCATTGCAGGATCTTTGCCAATAAAACCCCAAATAGGGTCACAAAGAGTTGCATTAGTTTAGTTGAGTTAATAAATCTCCCAAAGTGTATCTGAAAGATGAGGCTTAGTAAATAAAAAATATACAGCATTTGGTGTTTGGGAGATATTTAGTTAGGATCTGAGCATCATTGGGATTTGTGTTTCTCTGGATTTGTGGCTTCTGCCATGAATTAAAAACTCATATGCTCCTTCTGCCAGCAGGCAAATGCAGCTTCTTGTGAGCTGTAAATTAAGTTTCTTTCTGTTTATCCCACCCACATAGTGCGTTTCCTGTAACAAATCATTCAAGAAGCTCTGGTCCCTTCATGAACATATCAAGATTGTCCATGGATATGCAGAAAAGAAATTTTCCTGTGAGATTTGTGAGAAGAAGTTCTACACCATGGCTCATGTGCGGAAGCACATGGTTGGTGAGTTCTTCCTGCCACTACTTCTGTCCTCTTTATCCTCTTTTTCCTTGTTTACAAGACTTTTCTTTCTGCCCACCATGGACCAAGATTGGGAAAGCTGCCTTATCCCAATCATCCTTGACTTACTGAAACTAAATGAAAAAAGTCTTGAGCCCTATAAGCATCAAACAATAATTCTTTTTTAAAAAAATTCTTGATTTCTTTTGTTTTTATATCACCTTCATTTCCAAATATATAAAAAATGAGAAGGAAAAGAAACAGCAAAATTAACTAATACATCAGGTGAATCTGACAATATATGCACTGCTCACATCAATAGTTGCCCACTTCTCCAGCAGATAGAGAAAAAGGTACATTTTTCTCATCTATTCTTTGGAACTAGGCTTGGTCACTATAACTGCAGGGTTCAGTTTCTTTTTGTTGTTCTGTCCACTCACATTGTTGTAGTCATTGTGTGTATTATTTTCCTTGTTCTACTTACTTCACTTTGTATCAGTTCAAATGAGTCTTGCCAGTCTATAAACATTTGTAGTGGAAAATGGGGCTTTTCTTTCTACCTTTGACCTCATCACTGGACTGAGATCTTTGGGTCAAAGGTATGGATGTTTTGGTGACTTTCTTAGCATAATTCCAAATTGCTTTCCAGAATGGTTAGATCTGCTCATAGCTCCACCAATAGTTTATTAATGTGCCTGACTTTCCTCAGCCCTTCTAACATTAATTATTTGGATATTTTGTCATCTTTGCCAATTTGCTGACTGTGAGGTGAAAACTCAAAGTTGTTTTGATTCGCGTTTCTCTTATTATTAGTGATTGAGAGCAGTCTTTCATATGGTTGTTAATACTCTTCTTTTGAGAACTATTTGTTTGTGTCCTTTGACCATTTTATCTATTGAGGAATAATTCTTATTCTTACACATTCATATTAGGTTCCTGCATATCTTGGGCATAAATTCCTTACTAGAGATGTTTGACATGAATATTTATTTCCCAGTCAGTAGCTTTGCTTCTAATCTTAGTAGCACTGATTTTTGTTACTGCAAAAGTAACACATTTCATGTAATTGAAATTATCTATTTTATGATTTTATCTGATTGCTTCTTTCCCTTGTGTGATAAGAATTCTCTCTCTAGCTATAGCTGTGAGGGTACCTGATCTGGTTCTCTTCTAATTTTTCTTTGGTGTGACCTTGAGTATTTAGTTTACCAGGCAGCACTTTTATGGTGTGGTTCTCCCCTCTCCCACTTCCCTCCCTCCCCTTTTAAATATCATTTGTTCTCCTACTCAGGATATTGTCATTAATGACTAAAAAGATAATTCAAGAAATGGGAATGTAGTTTTATAGTAGTAAGACATATGTTTTTTCCTATATGACTGTATGATGGTTTTGGGTGAACTTAGTATTCTGAGTATAAATACATTCTGTGTTGCAGCACATACAAAAGACATGCCATTTACATGTGAAACCTGTGGAAAGTCATTCAAACGCAGTATGTCACTCAAGGTGCATTCCCTGCAGCATTCTGGAGAGAAGCCCTTCAGGTGTGAGGTGAGGAAATTGCCACTATGTTGAAGATAGGCAGAAGGGAGTGGCCTTGGGATATTTGACACTATTTCTTGAGAGAGAGATGTATAGCTCAATTCAAGACTTTGTTTCTACAAAACCTTCAGAAATACACCGTTGGCATACATTTAATCACTGCTTATATAGGACTGTATGTCTTTGTGGGGTATGTGTTGTCTATATAACTTAAAATTTTATTTTTAACACACCACTAACATGCCCTATTATTAAGCTTCTTGGATCAGGTCTACATTTAGGAAATGATGAAATTGCCATTTTTATCACTTTATGGCAAGTAATGTTTCTTCCTTCAGCAATAGAGCTTGGTTCAATACACACAACGGAGGATTTTTCCTCCGTTCATTAGTAACTCACTTGCAGACAAAACAAAATAGGTGATTCTAGGGGGTTCCCATTTTGAGTTGAATATAGCTCAGCCTCAGAAAAAGTGTTAGGATGTGCAGAAGTGGACAAGTTTTTGTTATATTCACCACTACTGCTACACCTATCATCCAATATGATTCAAGATTCTCTCTGCTGTGTCTAATACAGAACTGTGATGAAAGGTTTCAATACAAGTACCAGCTTCGCTCCCACATGAGCATCCACATTGGACACAAACAGTTCATGTGTCAGTGGTGTGGCAAGGACTTCAACATGAAACAGTACTTCGATGAGCACATGAAAACACACACTGGTAAGGATTTCTTGGGAAAGGTACAAATACCTTATACCTATGTGGTATATGACCTTATGGTATAGGGGTGGGACAGCTACCTGCTTAACTCTAGCTCTGAAACTTGTATCATACAGATGTAACCCTATGTTAAACAAAACTGATAGAAGAAAATATTGATTTGTAAATCAGAATATTAGGACATGATTATTCATTTGAAAGAAGGATTATTTGATTTATTGAAGTAGGCACACTAGAATTCCATTAAATAATGAACTTCTGTAGTTTAGAATGATAAGATTTATCAAAATTATGTTTGCACACAGCTTGTCGGGAACATAGATATTAAATAAAATGAGGTATGGCTATATTGGTTTTAAAAGTCAGTTTGTGTATTTATAAAAGCACATGGGAAGCATAGGATTTGATAGCATTGACTTGAACTGGGTATCTTGTGAGCAGATTAATATCCCAAAATAAAGAATCCTGAGATTACCATATAAACCCTGTTGTTTTGTCTTAATCTTTATTTGTCCATTTGGGAAGGGACTCTCTTTAGCCCGTATTGAGTAATGGTTTATTATTTATACAGAAATTACTAGTTTTCTCATTTAAAGCTAATTGTCACACTTTAGATTATTCAGTAAAATAATAGCTCCAGAACCTCAAATTATTTTAAAGGACCTCTTGTCTTTAAGCAAATGAATATCTATATGGAAGGAAGGGAGAAGAAGGGGAGGGAAGAGCTGGGCTGGCTTGCCTTGATTTCTGAGCTTAACAGGGATGGTCAGAGAAAGATTTCCTCTTGTGATACATTTTGTTGTGAATATACATGGTGTGCTAAAGTCTTAGTGTAAGTTTAAGCTTATTAGAACTTATTAGAACTTATTAGAAATTTATTAAAGCTTAATTATTAAAGACTTTTGGGACAGCTTGTGTTATTATGAGAAGATCCTGTCAAAGTTTAGTAATTAAAAGTAGTTGCTTAACAGTGAACAGTGGTTAGCTAGCTAAATGGCATTTCAGAAGGTGGGTGACACTCTGAAGCCTCTAAGTCCAGTTGAATAGCAGAATATAATAAACAGCTTACCTGATGCTCATATTAGAACTAAGTGCTGTGTGCCAGATGTTAAGGATACAAAAACAAAAATAAAACAGTCCCTACTTCATGGAGATTATGTTCTACCAAGAGAGACAACATGTACACATATAAATATTTACAAAATATACACAAAACAAATGCAAGGCAGTTTTGAGGAGTAGGGCACTACCAGCTGGGATCATGAAAGACTTCACGTAGATGATGGTATGTCAACTAAGTTTTGAAAAAAAATATGAATTTTCACAGGTAGAAGTAAGGAAGGAGTACATTTCAGGCATGGTGGACTGCCAGTTCAAAGGCATGCTTACTGGAAATGGTGTCTTTTGTGAAGAATAGCAGGTAGGCCAGTTGGACTGGACCATAGAATATATGAAGGAAAGTAATATGTAATAAGGCTAGAAAGTAAAGTTGGGACCAGGTTGGGAAGGGCTTTGAAGGCCAGAGAAAGAATAATAGGGAGCTACTGAAGTTTATTGAGTAGAGGAGTGACATTGGTCAGATCTTGGCTATAGGAAAAACATCTCAAAGTTGTCCATTCCCTAGTGTTTTGTCACCTAAACTGTCAGTTTCTTCATTGTGCCTTAACAAAATCTCTCACAATATTATCAGTCAACAGGTACTTACTGAGTACTTACAAGGTACTTAGCATGGTGCTTAGGCACTGTGGAAGGGCACAGAAAAGATAGAACAGTTCCTCTCTTACCCCAACCTTAATCTAATCATGTTGGAAAGACAAGACAAATTTGCATGAAATTATTTCAAATAATACATGACAGCATATAGCTAAGTACTGAATTGTCTGATACAGATTATAAACGTCAGAGAAGAGGAGATCAGTTAAGGAAGGAATAATTGGGGAAGCTTTCGTAGAGGAGGTGAGATTGCAACTGGGACTTGAAAAACAAATAAGAGTGAAGATCATCAAATTGAGAATTGGAGCATTTCAGGGAAAGGAAAGAACGAGGGAGAGCAGGAAGGTAGAGATGGTGATGATGGCTGGGATGGAGAGCTACTGAAAAATAGTGAGAAATAATGTTAGATTGGTAGAATAGAGAAGTTTATAGAAAAGAGTTAGACTATAAAATGAAATTGCTGAATTAGAAAACCTGTTATGGCCCATTCCATTTTTTGTGTCTTGAGAGCCTTTGATAAATGAGAATCCATTGGAAGTTTTGAACTCTAAGTAACATAATGAAAATGGCAATTTCAGAGAACATTCTAAATTGTTGATTGATGGATTGGATGGGGAAGGTCTCTAATTGAAGAGGAAGCTATTATGATAATCCAGGAATTGAAGTAATAAGGGCCCAGGTGATATCAATAGAAATAAGAAAGTATTGATACAAGAGATATTTTAAAGGAAAATGAGTAAGATTTGATAGGCAAACTGACTGCATATATTTGAGATACAAGGCAGAGTTGTGTCAAAGATGCCTGTGAAGTGGGGAGTTGAACCTGAAAACTGAAAGAATGATAGTACCATCGACAAATGGGAACATTTGGAGGGGGAATTGGCTATAGAGGAAGATATTGAGCTTGATTTTTGGCTATGTGAGTTTGAAAATGGGAGACTATAAAAGTGATAATGTCCAGCTAAAAGTGGAGAATATGAGAATGGAGCTGAAGTGAAATTTATATTTCAGAGTCATCAGCATAGCAGTGCAATTGAAGTCATGAAAATGATTAAGTGATATGAGGGGAGAGACTTAGAGAAGATCCAGAGGACCAAGAACTCAGAGGGAAGAGGAGTCAGCAAAGGAAACAGAAGTGGCAAAAAAGATGAGAGAAAAAGGCAGGATAGCGTAGTTTCTAAAGGAAAAAAAAGTAGTTTTACAGAAAGGAGGAAAGCGGAGATGATTAATTTTAAATATAGCAGAGAGGTAAAGTAAAATGAGAGCAGAGGAAAAAGAACATGGATTTGTCAGAAAGAAGGTCACTGGTGACCTTTAAGCAAATATATTCAGGAGATGGGATGTAAGCCAAATTGATAGGGGTGAAAGAGGGATTCTTTAGGGCAGCTACACGGTGCAGTGGACCAACCTGAGTAAAAATCCAGCCTCAGATACCAGCTGTGTGACTCTAGGCAAGTCACTTAACACTTTTTGCTTTAGTTTCCTCATTTGTCAAATGAGCTGGAAAAGGAAATGGCAAACCACTCCAGTATCTTTGCCAAGAAAAGTGTTGGATAAGTCTTTGAAAGTCCAACACTTTCAAAAAAAGTGTCAAAACAACTAAAGAACAAAAAAAGAGGGATTAGGTAGTGAGGGAAAAGGGGAATATCAGCTATAACACACTCATTTTGGCAGTAAAAGGAAGGAAAGAAATTGAATAATATAGAGGCAGTAGGGTTTTTTTTAAGATTTTTTTTTTCAAAAATAGGGGAGACCTGTACATATTTGAAGTGTTAAGAAAGGAACCCCTGGAGAGGGAAGATTGAAGATATTGAGAAGGGAGTAGATAAATGTGAAAACAAAATACTCTTCTGGGATAGAATGGGACGAACAATGGTTAGCTTTGTAGAAAGGGGCTTCTCTTTTGAGATTGGAGAAAAATGTAAAACAGGATGAGTCTAGAGAGTGTGTTGAGTTGAGCATGTTACCCAGGCCTGAACGTTGAATGGTGTGAATCTCAGTGAAATGAGCAAGTTTTTCTGAGAGAATAGGTTGAGAGAAATAAAGGATTATAAACCAGATTGCATACTTGAGAAAAGTGGAGACAGAATAAAACAGCCATTATGAGAAGTTTCTTGAAGAATCAGCCAGTAAGGAATAAAATAATTTTGAATATTGGCAAGGGATTAATTAAATCTGATTCATAGATTGGTGGTAGACCAGTTGCTCAATTCTGTATCTTTCTCTAACCTGACTCTATAGCTTGGGAATCCAGAGTGGAGAAAGAATTAGAGTAAGGTTGATCTAGTTTTGAACATTGGCACGGTGGAAGATCCCAAGGACATGGGAACCTACGGGCAACACTGTATTGGTTTAAGGAGCATTGATTGAATACCTTCGTGAAAAGTCATTGCAGCCATGAAACCCAGGTTGGGGTTAGGTGGATATTAAAAAAAAAAGCCAATGGACTTGGTGAAGAAGGAAGATTTGAGTGATTGAAGGCTCAGATATAGACAAAGACCAAGTTAAGAAGGAGACAATACTATATAATCACAACTTTATTTCTTTTATGGTGAGAGTGAGGAGGTAAAAGAAAAGAGGTGAGGAACAGGTCTACGTAAAAGAAGTTTGGCTGTAATGGAATAATACTTCTACAAGGCACAGTGGAAAGGAATAGAAGTCAAGAGGATTGATTGCAGAGGTGAAATCGCGTGTGTTTGAGTTGGATGAATATTTCAGTTAAGAAAGTAAGAATGAGAGATTATGTCTCGAGTAGCAGAATGGGGAATAAGAATGAGATAAGCAGTTAAGTGAGAGAAGGGAGACACATCAGAACTGAAGGGACTCCAGATCGTCTGATCCAACTCCCTCATTTTACAGATGAGGTAACTAGGTGGCACAGTGGAGAGAGTACTGGACCTGGAGGTAAGCTGTATGATCCTGGACAAGTCACTTAACCTCTGCCTCAGTTTCATCTTCTATAAAATAGAGCTACTTATAGTATGTACCTCCTAGAATTGTAGTGATGACCAAAGTGATAGCATGTAATGTGTTTTGCAAACCTTAAATTATAAATTAAACATATAAATTATTATTATCATCATCAAAGTTCACAGAGGTTAATTGACTTGCCTAAGGCAGAGTCAGAATTCATTTAAACACAGGTTTTCTGACTCCAGATCCAGTGAGACTAGAGGGAGAGGAAGAGGAATAGATATTAGTTAAAGTTGGGAAGTCCAGTAGCCTATATGAAATCTGTATTGCTTTTAAAGTTCAAAATTCAAGAGTAGACTCATGTGCCGAGTATTATATGAAGAAATACAATAGAAGGCAGACTTTTTCTATAGGAAATTCTCAACTAAAGCTTGTGAAAACTCAATTATATGCAGTTGAGATAACAACTAGAAACTACTTAGGGTATACTCAAGAAGAACTGGACAGGAAGGAGTTGGTCCATGAGGTAAAGTTCAGTAAAACATTGAAATATCTTTGCTAGAAAGCATTAGAACAGCATGTCAAAGACCACTACATTAGTTGACTTCTTTTACTTAATGCACTTGATACCTTTGACATAGGTTTTATTTTACTTTTAACTGCTCTAGTGTCATTAATCCCAAATTTGTAAGTTTGTGATTACTAGCATACAGTAATTTTGATATTTCGATGGGGGTAGAACTTGTATTTTTTTAATCAGGAAATGTTGCTTGTGCAGAATATCCACAGCTGCAATTTAGTGTGTTCATTGGTTTTTGTCTCTTTGTCGCCTCAGGAGAGAAACCTTTTATCTGTGAAATCTGTGGCAAAAGTTTCACCAGCCGCCCAAACATGAAGAGGCACCGCAGAACTCACACAGGCGAGAAGCCCTATCCATGTGATGTGTGTGGCCAGCGGTTTCGCTTTTCCAACATGCTCAAGGCTCACAAGGAGAAGTGTTTTAGGGTTACCAGCCCTGTGAACATCCCACCTGCTGTCCAGATCCCACTTACAACTTCCCCAGCCACCCCAGTTCCTTCCATCGTGAACACACCCACAACCCCTACCCCACCAATCAATATGAATCCAGTAAGCACTCTTCCCCCTCGGCCCATCCCTCATTCCTTTTCACACCTCCACATTCACCCACATCATCCTCATCACCTCCCCATACCTCCAGTCCCTCACTTACCCCCACCTCCAGCTCTCTTTAAGAGTGAGCCTTTAAATCACAGAGGCCAGAGTGAGGACAACTTTCTGCGACACCTGGCAGAGAAGAACAGTTCAGCACAACATCATTAACAAATATCTTCTTCAATCTGTTGTCCCTTGGGTATGTACCCACATGTGAGTTTGCAGAGTGGGAGTTGATGAGGTTGTCTATAGTTCTATCGCACTCCCTCTTAGCCTCCAGCAAAAGAGCCTTGTCATTGGCTTGGTGTACCAGCAGATCCAAGTGAATGAATGAGAAGATGACCTTTGGCTCATAGAGAAGGATCATCGTAACCAGGGGAGCCAATGGAACTAAAGCCCAATATGCTTCCTTTTTACTGATGACTTTTATAAATTTCAAATACTGAGACTTGTGTAATTTTATAATTTCATATCAGCTGATGAGGTATGCTTGCTTTTATATCCTGGACTTCTCCTCAAAGAGGGGACAGGCCTGGTTTCCTTTTACTAATCAGGAAGGCTGTGAGATTAATCCAGAGCATTAATTGTATCACTGTGTATTGTAACAAATTCTTTTCAGCTTTTGATGCCACCAACAGAGGTGGGCTGGCTACATATCACAGTATATCAAGCATTATAGAGAAAAGACAAAAATTTCTTGTTTGTGTAGCTCTCTCCTAACGCACTCTTTATTTTACTACAGAAATTATTTTAGAGTTTTTGTATAGACCTCTTTAGTAGTTACCTGTTTCTAAAATGAAATGTATTTCAATAAGCGGTGTAATTTTTTTCAGTGTAGCTGGACCTATGTTGTAAAATAGAAAAATTTTTATAATCATCAAAATGTGATTCTTAAAGACGCATATAGCTTCTATAGTTAAAAGTTATCCTTACATCCGTACTACTCAAAGGTGCTTCAGAGACTAAATGTATCTGAGAAGGTCTCCAGGCCAGATTGCTGCAAAAATTATGTTTTGCTTTCAGAACTTGGTATAAGTTATTTGGTAGTTTTTAAATCTCCACTTCCCACCCAAGTGTCTCTTAGGCTCACTAAACATGCTCCTTTACCTTAGGTGGAGTATTATATGAAATGTTTTGAAAAGGAATAGGTCTCTTTCCAAGGAAAACACCAAAGAGCACACACACGTTTTGAAAACGTGAGAGGAGTTGCTCACCACCTAGAAAAGGCAGGGAGTGGAGGTTGTCTCATGTCAGTCATGTCTGTTCCTCATTCTCATTAGGGACAGTGTTCATGTTTAACTTTTATGATATGACTGATTTGAGGCTCATACCATGTGCTGCTTGTTTTCAGGTTGCTTTCTTTTTCTGGAGTTGTTAGGAGAAGGAAAAATACTAAACACGAATCACAAACATGATGTTGCTGATAGAGGCTGACGAGGCATTTAGATGAGAACATAAGCTGGTCATATGATTGAAAATGTCTTTTATCACTGGATATATCCACAACTTGGAGGTTTTCTAACGTGCAACATAATAACAAGGGAAAACTCGTAAGACTTCACTGTCCTGTTCTAAGCAAATGTTCCTTAAAGTGGCCAGTTTGAACAAGTGGTAGGGATAGTACACCTCTAATACTTTCAGTCTAGTAACTTTTCAGAGATTGATATAGTCTAGCAAGAATCAGCAGTTGTTATAGGGAATAGTTCAGCAGAAGGCCTTGCACATTGGTTATATTCAACTGCTGAATAGCTCTCCTATTTTCCCCCCTCTATTTTAATTTAAATACAGCTGACTCTTATAGTAAGCTTAAAAACTGGTGTTGCCCCCACCTCAGAGAACTGAGATTTGGCTGTTATTATCTTCTTTTGCTTTATGTTTTCTCTCAAAATTCCCCAGTGTTTCTCTTCCTTCCCCCATATTTTCAACTAACTGCCTCTACCCAGTACCCCAACATTTGAAGATTCTTTTTTTTTTCAAATGTACAGTTGTGTTAGAGGTTCTTTTCTGGCTCATGGGCTTTGGTTATTATCTAAAACTGAGGGTTAAAGTCCCTGTTTTAAAATATCACCTTTCTTTTCTATTAGCTTTCCTATCCCAATTTTTTTACCTTTGTGTGCTATGATTAGCCAAGGAAGCTTTTGGAATGGGGGAGAAAAGACATCTCTGACTATCTTTGTTTCTGTTTTATGTGTAAGCCTTAAAAAATTGGGACAGTTTTTAAAGAGTTATTTCTCTTGATATTTGGATACATTTTTAAAGCTCCTGGTACACAAGCCAGTAAGGAAAGCCAGTAAGGTCCTTTTTTATATGACTTTTATCCTTAGTGGCTGCTCTCCCATAAACTCCTTGCATTCCATGCCACACTTGTCATCTACATTTTTGTGTAGATGTGCCACTACTTTATAGTCAGACCTGTTAAAAATGCTTTGTTTTATTATTAAAAATGTATCTCAGTTAAATGATATCTTACTTTGTTCTAAACAGCTTTACAGTATTAGACAGCTATTTTGAATATAATTCAAGACCATTTTGTTGTCCATTTCCTAGGAATACTGGAGTGATACACTGGGAATTTCAGATGGTCTTACCTGTGATTTGGGAGTTGCAGATCTATAACCCCTAAGAAAGAACCCACCATCCATGGGAAATCCAGTATTATGCAGTCACTACCATCCTAATAAAGCTCAAAAAGGCTATCAAAAAAATCAGCCAAAATTGTCACAAAATATAATGCCTAATGAAAGTCATTGTGGAACAGCCTTAAAATGTCCCCAGTTCTTGTCTAATTTTGTTTTCTGGGTTTTGACTTTACTTGACTGGTATTCATGGTTTTAAAGGAAAAGTACTCAGAGAGTCTAATGTGTCTTCATAATTTTCACATTAAAAATTAATCAAGACACATTACAGAATGCTTGTGAGTGCTTCTGAACATGAGAACTTCAGGATTAAGCCTTAAATAAAGACCTGTGTCAAGTTAACCTAAAAACTCAGGAACTCAGAAAATTTGGTTGATAGTCTTTACTTGGCTTCCCTAGTAGGTATGGGGGCTTGCCCTTTTCTCCCCTTGCCCCACATAGTCCCATAACCCTGCAAACTGCTCAGAATGATTAGCTCGATGTTCATCGGTCTAGAAAGAGGAATATGGAGAAAGAGTTTGGTCTCTAGTCTTTGCTATATATGCCTTTACATAAATCTCTAAAGGACCTTGAAGGCTACATTATGCAATGTATTTAAGCATATTTAAGCATTACAATGGTATTAAGTGAGGCTGTCTGTTAATACACAATCTTACTGTCTTTGACAGTTCCTATCCCATTGCTTAAAATATGACCTATTTGAACATACAAAGACATTTTTGAGTTAAGGTAGTAGTAAACATTTTCTTTACCTTTTCCTATGACATAAAAACTCAAATAAGAAAATTTAGCCCATAATGTAAAATTGCTGCTTTACCTAGTTGAATCAGGTTAGCTCATATTGAGTGAGGTTTTTTTGGTTTGAACAGTAAAGAGGTAAACATAACCTAAGTCTTATGGCACATAGCTTCACTGCCGCATATATGTATTTGTGACTTCATTCTTAAATATTTTTAATGAGAAAGGGAGGCTTCCACATAAAATCTTAACATAGTATCAAAAGAAACTTTAGAGAATTAGTAACATGTACTTTGTTTGAAGCCTACCATTGCATTAAGCCTACCATTTTCATGGCTAAGCATGAAAATACCATAATTGTACTTAATGCTTTGGAAATACCTTTCCAAGACTCCCTTTAATTGTGTTGTTCACTTACTGTGTGCCTGGTGTACTGAAGATGATGTCCTCGTGGAAAAGATGCTTGCAAATACTGAATTTCCTAATCTCTTCTCTCCTTACACCTACCTGATTTTTTTTTAAAAGTTTTCATATTTGTTGGTTGGATGTTTGTGTTTCATTTAATTTAATTTCTCTGGCAGTTTCTGATTTTTAAATAATAACAATTATAATGAAACTCATTGAAGATGTATATTTATCCCATTTTGCAAAACCTGTCAATTTGAAATATAAAGAAGTATAGATACTTTGTAACATCAGACTACCTGTGTTAAATTTAAAGATACTTCTGCTTGATCTACTATAAATAAGGATATTATACTATGTAAAACAAGTTAGGTTTGTATACCCACAAAATAAGTGTTTTGATACTCTTCCAGATTTATAATCATGAGAATGTTTGACAAAGGGAGATAAATTGCTTTTAAGAATTCTGCCAATTGTATTTAAGGTCATTTCACTTGGAATTCTGTATGTTTTACAATTGGACACATTGATGTTGATTTTATTTTTTCCTTTGAAAAACTCACTCCTCCTTTGCTGAACCAAGATTAGAAATCCCATTAAAAATAAAAGCATTTTTCAGTAATGGAAAGGTCATAGGTTATTAGAGATAGTAACATAATTATGCAATAATAGCTTCTAAGCTAGCCTGCTTGTGTCATCTGTAGCATTTACAATAATTAATGATGACCTTCCAACCCTGGATTACTACCTCGATAAAGCAAACCAGAGGTCCTCTCTCCCCTTATTATGGAAGCCATAAAAGTTGCCACCAGTATGTCCATTTTCATAGTTCCTTACTTTTATACTCTATAATCCTGACTTTTTATAGACCTTGCAATCAGATCCTTTTGTCATAGAGGAAAGGCTTTACAAGTTTGGACCAGCATGGAATTTTAACTCCTTTGGTTTCAATTTGGAGGATTAGATGAATTCACCAGGTGAATCAAATTCCTCACTTAAGTTAAACCATTTTACCCAACTGTATATTTTACTGATGAAAGACTAACTTTTTCCTCCCTTTCCTATTGTTTAAGTTTCCTGCATTGCTATGGAAATTATTTGTGGAATGGAATTCTACTTTGTTGCTCTATTGATTAATTAATAATTGGTGTCATCAGATCACCTCTTGAATTGTTTCATTTTGTTAAGTTATACAAGTAAATGCACACCTACATTTTCTTATCTTCCTTCCATCATTGCAGCTTAAGCCCTCTCTCATTCTTGAGTGCCTTGAAGAAACCAGCATTCCTGGAAAATTTTCTCCCTGGTCTAGATCCTACCTCTGCTTCATTTTCCATGAGTGTTGGATTTTGTCTTTAATCCATTTGGTTCTTCAAAAACTAGTAAAAGCCTTGGACAGAAATTTTGAACATATCTCTGAATGAGTTCTTTCCCCTAATTTTCCAGGTTTTACAGTAGCATCTGACGATGTATTAGTTATGCCCTAGACATTCACCTCTGATCTCTTCAATAACAAAAGGCTTGGTCCTTTGTCTTGATTCCTAACATTTGCTTCCTTAGCCAGGAAAATTAAATTCATTATATATTCCGTGTACAGTTTTTGCTCATCTTGGTCTTCCTGAATTCTTCCCCTTTCACTTAAGGGGGTGGGCTTCAATGCTGCTGTTGCTATACAGTACCTTTTCTCATTTGTTCTCTCTCTTCAAGAATCAGTTTGCAAATTTGTCCATGACATTTTCTTATACTAAAATCTAATTCAAAATAGTTTCTTAGTTTTTTTAGAAGCCCTTTTGACTTCTCTTTATTTTTCTCTTTGGGATACTAGTCTCCAGGTAGTTCCAATTGCTTTTAAAATTCTTCCCTTATCTCCCCCACTACTTCTCTGCCCCTCTCTCTTCCAGGCTCCCCCTTCTTATCCAACCCCCAACACATCATTTAGCTATTTCTTTTTCTAGTTTTCCCTACAGTCAGTCTTTACAGTATAATTGTTACTCAATATGAAGGACATTAAACAAAAACAAGGGTTGCTCTATGATCTGTATGTAACATCAGGGTCTGAATTGGTAAAGCACTTCAGCATTGTGCTTTGCTGCCACAGAAGGGGTTTGTGCTGTGCGTAGACTTCTCTTCCTTGTGTTATACACAACTGAAAACGAAATCCTTTAAGAAATGAGGAAATTGGATTAGTTGGGGTTTTTTTTTAATTTGGTTTAAAGGAGTGGAGACTATTAATCTGGATATTTTTGCTGTCATCAGAACCTTTGCATTATCTTTTTAAAGCTGCTGCTCTCCCTAAATTCATTTTCTTTTTGTAAGTAGTCCTTGGAGTTTTCAAAACTAATTAAACTCATAAGAGGAAAAAGGCGATATGGTGAGGCAGGAAACCAGAGAACAGTTATTTGTGAACTTTTAATTCTTTCTGTCTGACCACTCTCCCTCCTGCCTCCCCCCATGTTGCTGGTTGGCTAAGGAAAAGATTCACAGGTAGTTGAAAGTTTAACTATACTTTTTTGGAAGGGGAGACTAGTTTATAAACCATGTAATTTTTTCTTCTAAATTAACAAGATTTCATTACATCAAAAAAATTTTTTATATGATTAATTTTCATTTGACTTGTCTATTTTCTTAATACTAGCACCCAGAGGTTTGGCTTTCTCAAGTGTTTGTTGGCTGACAGCATTTTTAGCTATTTTCTTTAGCTGTACCATGCAGAATATAGTGAGGAACATTTTGAAGAATGAAGTCCAATTTGATGATTTATTCTGTTGCTGAGTAGCAGAGTTCTGAAATAGTCAGCAGAGGGGGCCGTTGTTCTCTGAAGAGGCTGCATTACTGCCTACCTCATCCAAGGTTACTCCATACTTGTGAAGACCATCTCAAGTAGGAGCAGAGATGTGGTAAATTACTTCCATGGGGGTGGAACAGGAGAGGAAGTGGCTAAGAAGTGATTAAATTTTGTTAACTTTGGAAGATATCTGCTACTCAGTGCTTGTTATATTTCTTATTAGCTAGAGACAGACTGAATGTGTTGAGGAAGAGAAGTGCTCCTGAATGTACATCTTTCCCCAGTTATATATCTTTAATGGGGGGGGGGTTGTGAGAGGAAACACCTTAACTAGCAGGCTTGAGGTCTCTTCATTTTGCATAGGACTTAGGAAACCAATCTGTTTACATTTGAAAATTAGTAGGAAATAATTTATACCAAGAACCTAACTTACTAGAAATTCTCTCATTTTCTGCTTGATCATTTGAATCATTCTTGATTTAGGTCAAGAATTTAAATGATGTAGTTTGATTTCAGTGTATGCTGCTAAGGTTGTACCCTTGAGTTATAGGCAGCCTCTGAAAATCTGATCAATGCCTTTCAATCTTCCGCATTTGGTGTGCATGTGCATTTTACCCATCTTTTTTGCAGGGGCTATACTGGTAAATCTGTCATTATTCAATGTTAACTGTGCTTACCCACAGGGGAGTGGCAGGATCTTTAAAAAGTCTCTATTGTGAAAAAGACAGTTCTTACATTTTATAATTTTCTTTACTTCTACTCCTCCCTGCTTACTTCAGTGTTTACTTATAACTTTGGTTTCTGAAACTATTTTCTCTTGTAGCTACAGTCTCTGCCCCCGTTCCCTTGACACAGGCAGACTGGTAGGGAATGCTTTGATGCCAGAAGTCAAGGATGTTTTGGGAGCATGAATTGGACAGGGTATCCTGACTAGCCTGTTTAAATAATAATGCTCAATGATGAGAGCCAGTCTTTTTCCACATGGGGTAGAAGCTTTTTCTTGAGTCCTCATATGCTGAGTGCCAAGGCAGGAAGGCAATCTTGTTTTCTCTTTTCTGCCCCTTCCCTTAACCTCTCCTTTCCACACCGCCCCTTTCTTGCAATAGTTGGGAGAGTAAGATAGATCATGAAATCATTAACTCTCAGGAGTGGGGATATTCTTGTCGTTTTGAATGTAATAGGAGGGAGATTCAAAATCAAGTTTGAATAGGTAGTTATACCTCCCCATCTCAGCTCCAAATGGATAGCTGTTACACCAAGGTCATTATCTCCTGTGTCAGACCAAAGGCCCTGAGCCCTAGGATGGCATCTTTAGTAGGCACTCCTTCAGCTTGGAATTCAGCCTGGTACACTGTGCTCTGTTGGGCTAGAGGCAGACAATCTAAGGTAGTAACTAACTTTGCCATGACCAGGAGGTTTATTTAGGCTAAGTGGCAGTATTTCCTCCTTCATATAAACAGGCAACTAAGCAGCCAAGGAGAAATATCGAGGTGAACGTCAGCTAGTGGAACAAAGGGCATTTGCCCCTGGAAGACAAGATCTTACTCTGGTCCCTTTTTACCCAGCCTAAGCAGACCCTAAGAAAAGCCAGCAAGCACAGAGCGTTGATTCTGTCCACTTGTAACCCCAGCGCTTGACAGAGAAGAGCACTGAAGCTGCGATCAGTTTAGAAGCAGATGGTTAGGTGTAACTTGTTTGCCCTCTTTCTTTTCCCCTGACAGTACATAAATCACTTGCACTTTTCTTTATTTCTTAAGGAAAAAAAATCCAGTTTGCTTGCCAGGAATCGTTGAGCGTTAGGTTTACAAAGCTTGTCGTTGAATGTTAAAAACTTGTCCAAAGGAGTTTGGAAAAAATAGAAGCTGCTTGGTCCCTGTTCTTGCCTTCTCAGTCATAAGGATTATTAAAGCTGTGTAGCTTGGATGCTTATGGCAAGTCCAGAACAGGGCAGCATCCCTCTCCTACCTCTCTGTGGAGATGCAATTGAAGGTCAAATCAGACTTGATGTAGGGCAGGTACCCCTCATGCTGCAGCAAGTTCAAAGGAGTCTTTGAGTTGGGGAGGTGACAGACAAATAGGACAGGATTTCTGGTCTGGAAAGATCCCCAGGAGAGGCACTTTGCCCCTAGGAATTGCAGTGAAGTAGAACTGAGCTCTCCTTTAGCATTTCCAAACTAGCACAGGCTGTCTTGTTTCCTTGGGGCACTTTTTTCCTGTATCCTGTCAGACCCCTCATTGTATTGATTCTTTTCCCTTTGTGTTGACCATACCATAATTATTATTTTTTTTTAGCAATTGAGAATGCACTTTTATTTCAACTCAATCATGATTTTAAACATAAAAGTTATAGATTGTTAAAACTACTTTTTGTGTATTTTTAACCACTCAATGTAGCATTGTATATTTTATTCTTGTGAGACTCTGGTACAAGGTGTGCCGCTTCACGATATTTCCGAGATGCTGGGCCTTTGGATGTGTACGGTAACCAACCTAATGCTAATGTTCAAAGTAAAAGAAGTAGCCATATCTATTGCACCTGTGTCTTTCTTTCCTGACTGGTCCTAAAGGGAGAATCCATTTCCTCCCTTCTCCTTGAGTTGATGGGTAAACACTTGAAAATGATTACATGTAAGAATCATTTGGAGGTCTGATTACCTTATGTGGTAACAATCACTGTGAAAGTGTCTTTAAGTGATGATAACAAATTGCAGGGAGCCACCTACACAAGCTGGCCCAGTGACACATTTTGAAGGCTAATGCCCAGGGTTATAGTAGACAAAAGGGTTTGGGTTTTCTGTATAACAAGCTAATGTAAAACCATTATTAATATTTGGCCTCATTGGCCGACTCTGCTAACTGAGCCTCGGATGAGGCAGGAAACTGCAAAGGGCCTCTAGAAATTGCTATTTGGCTTCTGAACCAATTTAAGGAAAAATTTGGATTTGGAAAACAGTTTGGAAACTGCATTCAATGAAAAGTCAGAGGTGCGGGATTTAGCATTTGGGTGGACATCCCCCAATCTCTGCAAAAAACAACAACCACAACAACAACAACAAAACCTTTCCTCCTTAGGTGGACTTTCTTGTCCTCAGAGCTTCTACTCTGATTTACTGCTTCAAGTTCCACTTCTACTAGGTTATCAGCTTCCCAAGGACCAAGAAGTTCTCTCCCATTCACGACTGCTGTTGCTGTTGAGTAGGACCCGGTGAAACTTTCACTGTTTAACTCAAGCCCCAGCAGATGAATGAGTGTTCTGCAGTAGCCCAAACCACAGAAATCACATCTTCTACACCAACAGTATCAAACTCAAGTAGAAACAGGGGCCACTAATTGACACAGAAGGGCTGCATATTAACTTAGTTTTAAAATGTAATATTATCTATGTTTTATTGTATTTTTATTTATTTTGTTAAATATTTACTAGTTTCATCTGATTCTAGCCAGTTGGAATGTTTGACACCTCTGTTCTACAACCATTCTGCATCTGCTTGAACAAGCATTTATTGAGTGCCTACTATGTACATGGGGCAGCTAGGTAGCACAGTAGAGAGTGCCAGCCCTGGAGTCAGAAAGGCTTGAATTCAAATTTGACCTCAGATATTTACTAGTTGTGTGACCATGGGCAAGTCACTTAACCTATTTTCTTTCAGTTTCCTCATGTGTAAAATGAGGAAAAGGAAATGGTAAACCACTCCACTATCTTTGCCAAGAAAACTCCAAAATGGGGTCATGGAGAGTTGGACACAACTGAAATGTCTCAACAACAGCTGTGTATGTACAAGGCACTGGAGCTAAAAAGAAATGAAAACAATCCTTACTCTCAAAGAATTTAGACTTTAATGATTTGCTATAAACATTGGCATACAATTAATTCATAATTACCTGATCTTATTCACTCCAATATTTATTCATTCATAAATATAAATTATCATGTAATGGCCTTACGTGAATGTAACTCATATTTAAGAAAAGATACATATCAGCACTGAAGTTGTGTCATACAAACTCAGCTTACTCTAAAGCGATCTTACTGCTTTTTTGCTCCAGTTGCCGATGACCCCCACCTTGATGGTATCGGCTTTGTTTCATCTTTAAATCCTTCAGTATAAAGAACTGGGTCCTCCCCATTTCCCCCAAAGACATTTTTATAGTAGTTTCATTTACAGTTTATGTAGTTCTCTACTACCAATTAGTTGAGGCTTGCTTTATTGCAGCTTAATTATTACACCCGTTTTTGAAAGCCCCAAATTCAATCCATTCAGCTCTTGAAATTCAGATCATTATGTGCTATTTTAATATAATTCACTAGCCATTTTTGTACTGTGGTCAAAAAATACCAATGTTTTCAGTTCATTTGTGTCTACTGTTACTATGCCTTCTGGTCTACTCTTGCTCGGCAGCTACGACTGAGGGAAAGGCAAAGAGGTCCTTGTGCTCACTTCAAGCTTCAACCTTTCAACCACTGCCGATTTCTTTACCATCCAGAAGATTGTGCTACTCATCTGTGTTCTGAAGCATTCTTCAATTTTTGTATCAGGAAGTACCGAGTCCCAGACCTCTGCCCTCTAACCCCTACATCGCTCTTCTACTTCCCTTTCTCTTTTACCCTTCTATTGACCTCACCATTTGTTTCATTCTAATTATGCTACTCTTGATCTCTCTTAAGGTGTTACGTACAGGACAGGAATTCAGTGTCTCTAGTGCAGCATTCTACGATTTCGTCCATGTTCTTAAAGCCTCCTTTGCTTTCTGTGACCAGTAGAGGAGGAAAGTACATCCACAGCTCAGAAGGCATTGGGCTTTCATGCAGTTGAACCCACTAGTGCCCAATAAAATGTAAATGCAAATAGTGGTAATTAGCATTTTGTAATTTTATACATGACAGGAATGCTAATCACAAGTATATGGCCAGACGCTGGTTGAGTGAGTACAGTATAGAGAAATCCTGATGAAGTATTCTTTGGCTGAGAAGGAAAGCCAGCAAACAGGTTTTTTTCTTTAATTGGAGGTCCCTTTAAAATAAACACATAACAGAGACACACACACACACACACACACACACACACACACACACACACATGCATCTTTGCAGCACCTCATTTGTGAAGTGACCCAGGCAAGTCTTCAGAGGGATCAAACGTAGTGCTTGGATACACCAACTAGTCAGAATAATGAGAGAAAGCCCCCTGATGTCAGGAATATTGAACTAAAAAAATAAAAAGTCGGGATTCATCTAGACAAAATTACTTTTCTTGTTTTCAGTTGTGACTTGGTGAAAGTCAATTAGGGGACTCTATGGACTACTGTAAATGGAGACCTTGATTTCACAGCTGGGGAAGTTGTGGGGAGGTGGGGAGGTTCAGAGTACAGGCAAGAGGAGACCTGTGATTGTGTAGCAACATGATTGCTGGTTAAAATCCTGAGGTCTCAGATTTAGGAAAATGTTGGCATAGAGCAAGAGTTTATAAAAAGAGCACAATGTTTATACCCATATGCCTTTGGGACTGGATGGCAAATAATGTTCTAAACAATCCTAGACCACAGAGCAGTACACACCCTGGAAAGTTACAAAATTAAAAGTTGAATAAGAAGCTAGTTACAAATTAAGACTCTCTATTTACCTTCCTTTCCCCTAAGGAACTACTGTCTTTCTATCCCAGTCACCACCTAAAGGAAGATGAATGGAGTTATGTGTCTTGGGAAAAAAAGGCTTGGGTTGGGCCTTTTAAAACCAACACCCACTGTCCTAAATTAGAGAACAGGGCTGAATTCTGGCTTCTTCCGTTTTTTATAATCCAATTTTGGGGGAAGAGCATTAATTCAGGGAGAGGCCCCAGGAATCTGGTTTAAGAGATTTCATTCAGGAAACTACCCAACATCCTTCATGTACCTGAGCTCCTGGTGGACCTCAAGGGCTTCACTTTGTGTGCCTTGAGAGATGCCTGCTGAATTGAACTAAACCAGGCTTTAAGAGTTAGGAAGCAGGGCTCATTTCATCAGGTAGTGAATGACACCACCCTTTGGAAGGAATTGGGAATGATGCTCCTAATTTCAGCGAAATATATTGGCTATGATTTCACTAAAGGGTAGCACATTGTTAGAACTATGTAACTATTGCTGTCATTCTGACCTTCGTACCCATTCACTCACCCTTAATACTGCTTAGCACAGCACCTCTCTCCCTGTTGAACACTAGCAATCCACCCAGGCCAATGTCTAATCAATCTCCTGCCATTTGTATTTATTGTCTAGAGGTTCCCAAAGTGGGTGATACTGCCTCCTGGGAGGTGCTGAAACTATCCAGGGATGTGGTAGTAGCCTTGGGTGCAATTGAGGAGCATTGAATAAAAATAATGGGGCTGTGGAAGCATAAGGAAAGAAGAGAAAATAAAATTTTGAAAAACCGTTCATATAGGTTTTATCCATTGTGTAACAGAGTTAAAGTCGAAGTGATTACATTATTTTCCAAATAAACACACAAAATGCAAGTTATAACCAATCAGTGGTCAAGTCTGCTGGCAGGTCTTAACAAGCAAGTATTGGCAGGTGAGTGTGTAGCACATTGTCCAGCACACACTGAAAGTAATATGTGCTTGTAATGACTGGTTTATAATACAGTACTATTCTATACCATATGGTTAGATGATACAATATTATGTCATCGAAATTTCAATGCAGGAAAAACCCCACAAATTTATAATAATTATAATTATAATAATATAATAAATTATCGAATTTAAGGTCTGTCATTTTTAAAATAAATATATTTTTTGAAATAATGCAAATTTTTAAAAAACCACTACAGAGTTAAAGAAAGCAGCTTTCCAGGGGAGCGCTGAGTAAATTTTTAAAAGGGGGTAGTAGGCCAAATAAGTTTGGGAACCTCTATTGTAAACAGAGAGTACAATTGGCCTTTTGGGCCCAGAGTCATAGGATCACACGGATCTAAAGCTGAAGACAGGGCCCGAAAGGTCATCTGGTATAACTCCCTCATTTTACAGATGGAGATGCTGAGACACTTAAGTAATTTGCCCAAAGTGACCTAACTAATAAGTGGTAGAGCTGGCATTTGAACTTGAGTCCTCTACCAGCATTCTGGAGTCAGGTAGAACCTTCCTGTTGTTCCTCTCCACTGCATGTCATGCTGGCCCTACTCCCTTTTCTAAAATCCCTCCACATCATTGGTTTAGAACAGTCTGAAAACCTGATGTCAGTCTTTCTTATCTGAGGACTTTTTATTTCAGCCTTGCAGAAGAATATAAGCAATTCGTTTGGCCAGGCTAATGAAGGGGAGCAGTGAAAATCCCGAGGAGCCGATAACTCTGAAGAGCAGGTAATCCAAAATTAATTTCTCTTTGAAATAAATTCTTATACAAATGCATATTTACAAACTTCCCTTCTTAATTAGGTTTGCCTCATATTAAAATGTTTGCATTCCCTGAGACATAGTGACATATGGCAACAGGAAAGATGGTGCCTCCAAATCATCCTGGGAGAAAGAATCCACCCATAGCCATTGGAGAGTT